ACCGTGTCCCATATGGGGCAGGAAGTGGCAGGAGCCCCACACGCCTTGTTACCGTACAAGCATGTACGGATTTGAAACCAACAAACATACGAGAGATATTTGTAAGTGCTCCCCTTGTTTCGTAAAGTTCCTTCAACTTCCGCGATTCTGAATGCGTGCCTGAGAGTTTGGGGGCAGACCCTGCAATTGGTCTAGATTGCTCGGTAGAAGGGTTTAAATTGACACCTGGGACAAGTTGAATTGCCGGGACAGGCCCTTGAATTGGCCTGACAGGGATAAGAATTGGCCTGGCAGGGACATTCCGACAGTCAGAATTAGCCTGACAGGGATACGAATTAGCCTGGCGGGACATTCCGACAGTCAGAATTAGGCTGACAGGGTGCCGAATTGGCCTGGCAGGGACATTCGGACAGTCAGAATTAGCGTGTTCAGGGTGTCGAATTAGGGAAGCACGGGAATTGTGCGACCGGGGCAGTCAAAAGAATTGCTCTGCCCGACAGTTTGTCCTACCCTCTAACACAACGCACCCGCCACGCACACACGGCTCCATTGCCAGGTCTTCTCCTCTTTACACAGTGTATATAGCTTGCCTAGACTTCTATGATGATGTGGCTCTGCTGAAAAACACGAAAGCAGCTGGTTTGGGAGAGAAAGGTCGGAGTTGTACAGGCCTCCGTACGAGGTGAAGCACTTGCCAGGCGCACTCACAGGATGCTTCTTTTCTTTCCAACACATAAACAATTAATGATTGTTACAGTTCCGTTTTGACTTGTACCTGGCCCTGGTTAAATCCTCTTAACGAAGTCACCCTTTGGACGGCTCTTGCGCGTTTGATCTGATAATTTTCAAGAGCTCGTATTATAGTCAGTACCACTAGGTTGAAAAGCAGCCAGATTATGCTGACCAATTTGATGGCTGGTTGGGTGCGCCCCGGAACGACGGTTGTGCAGTTTTTGACCATGTTGCGAACGAACGCCGCGCTTGTGTTGCTAGATTGTCTTTCATCGGGAGCAGATGATGTTGCAGTTGCCGGGGTGAAGCTAAAGGAGCTTGTCAGGGCAATGGACGTGGACGAGGTTTCCGCTTTCGTGGACAAGGCGTGCAAGCTTGCACATGATGTTAAAATCAGCGCACCGTTCATCAAGGGAGCTTTGGAGGACCTTGCCAAGGATCTGCAGACGAATCTGACGACGGTCTCATCACTCAAGCAGGCAGTCAAAAATCAGGAGGATATGGTGGCGAGTCTCATAGCAGAGAAGAAAAGCCGCAACAAGCAAGTGCCCTTGGGGTAGGTTGCCTACATCCTGGATGAGGTGACAACTGATTTTGTCTTCAGCAGCGACAAGCTGCACCCTACTCAGCAAGACCACAAACAGCGAGCTGAAGGAAGAGCAGATGCAGTGCTGGCGTCAGTGTCGGTCCTACCTGTTTCAGCAGGGCAGGATGGTTTTAGACCTGGTGGGCATGTACCCGCTTGCCCACAGCCCCCAGCAGCAGCAGCAGCAGCTGCAGGAGACGACACTCGACATAATCGATGCATGGGTTCACGAGTATCACAGGGGTGACACCAGCATGCAGCATCCTGTGCCTACACATGTTTGTGGCCTTGTTGAGTAGGGTGCAGCTTGTCGCTGCTGAAGACAAAATCAGTTGTCACCTCATCCAGGATGTAGGCAACCTACCCCAAGGGCACTTGCTTGTTGCGGCTTTTCTTCTCTGCTATGAGACTCGCCACCATATGCATATCCTCCTGATTTTTGACTGCCTGCTTGAGTGATGAGACTGTCATCAGATTCGTCTGCAGATCCTTGGCAAGGTCCTCCAAAGCTCCCTTGATGAATGTTGCACTGATTAAATTTAACACCATGTGCAAGCTTGCACGCCTTGTCCACGAAAGCGGAAACCTTGTCCGTGTCCATTGCCCTGACAAGCTCCTTTAGCTTCACCCCGACAACTGCAACATCAGTGTTCA